GATTTAATACATATCATACATACAGATAGCCTCCTAATCCCAACCTGGGAACTTTTCACTAGATCACCACTTCTTTCAGCATTCAAATCCAAGTCTCAGTGAATCATTGTGAGTTTTACCCTGTAACACATACTGACATACTAATAACAGCTCTGATGATACATCCTATAAACTGCTGGTAGAAGCAAAATTTTTAAAAAACTGAAAGCTCACAAGAATGAATTATGAAAACACACTGAAAACATTTCCAAACTTCTGTTGGTGGGAGAAAAGAAAAAAGAAGTAGCTAAAAATGTCTGAGCCCAGCCCCTCTGCTGTTCCCCGTGCTCTCTATCTGCTCACTAGGAACCATATTCCCACTGTTGGTATTAAACAGCAAACTCTCTCATCCCTCAGTGGAGACTCTTTGAGCACTATTAAATCATCAAAACAGCAACTCAGGAGACCTCATGGGAGTACTTGCTTTCTTCCTTTCTCATATTAGAAATCAGAAGCTATTCTGAAAGCTACTATAAACATATCTATTGCCACTAACTTTGCTTGGCTAAAAAAGATCCAGAAAGTCCTAAAATAACCAAAACCAGTTTTTGGCCTGAACGTATTCATCATGTCAACTCTATTCTGACTCTCAAAGCAGATTTCACCTCAACACATATAAAATCTTCACAGAAGCATTTGGCTAAATTTAGCAGCAATGGATATAATTCAGCAAATTAAATATAAATGTTTTTATTTTAAACAAATGGCTTACATTGATTGGCCATTGAAAACACTGAATCTTACATTCCACAGGACAAAAAATGACAAGAAAAGCATAAGAGAGTTTCCATACCCAGAGACAGGATCTCATTATGCTTTTAATGGACCAAGTCAAAGGCTACCGCTTCAGTGGTGACAAAGTAGGATACATATGATTTACACACTTTTTCCAAAAGTCTCCCTTCAGGTTTTCCTATGCAAACTCCTCAAACATGCAATTTATTTGACTTTTCAAATTTTTTTTTAGCTTATACAGATGTGGCTATATCAAGACAATGTGTTAGCATTTGCAGTTTAAACCTCTCTGTGTGTCAAATCTGAATATTTAAACTGCCCACTGTGTAAATAAGAAAATGTAGCTTCTAATCAATATCTTTAATTTGCAAGGCCCTTCAGGGTTTGTTTCATTTTAACATCTCACATATCCCTGAATGCCACACAATTTTTTCAGTTCTCTACAACTGCCTCCTTCAAATGGATTTACATCCAGGCATAAATTTATTTTCCATAGAAGGAAAATTGGGAAAAGAAGTTGCAGCTTTTCCACTAACACTGCCTTGTTCACTTCTTGAAATTTCAGCTGTGCAGCTCCCTCTCCCCTCCATCCATGCTGCATGGCCAGGGAATAGCTGCAGCCACTGTTTTTCCACCTCATTTCTAATGTAAACAAATATTGAGAGCCCATCTGACCTTTTGTATCCCAGCATACTGCCTGTCTGTGAAATGATAGTAACAGAAATTCCCCAGGTATGTCATAGAGATATGAAGGTAAAATAAAATATTCTTTTCACAGCTCCTCTGAAATAATTTTTTCAATACTGATCTTGAAATGAAAATAACGTATTTGAAGTACACATCTGTAAAAATCCCAATAAAACTATACGAGACTTTAATAGGACTCCTGGTGATTTATGTCTTTGAAAATGTGAAGTGTTTTTGGTATTATAATCATTATATTATATTTTTAGATTAAACTACAAATATTTCTAAAAGGGAAAAGAGAGAGAAAACAGGAAAAGGATACTCTGAGAGCTGAACTCATCTTGACAAGCAAAATAGAATGGATGAGGCCCAACTGACCATTGCCTATGGTCTTGTTGCAAAGACAGGCACTTTTCTCAAATGCTAAGTAAAACTGTGAAAGCTGTTGCCAAAAGATACATAACTGACATGCCTGCCCTGGTCAAGAAAGAAGTTTTGTATCTGTTTATAAAATGCTACAATAATCAAAGTAATACTCAAAGCTTAAACAGGAACATCCTTATAAAACAAATATGGAATTAAATGAACCCCACATTTTTCGATAAAATTACACATTAGTTAGAGTCTAAATGTAATTTTTTTTTCAAGGACAGATATGAAAACTTTTTTGCCAAGATCATTGCTCTCCAAAAATCTGTTTGTGAACTGAGATGTTTCGCCTTATGCTGCACTTCACACCTCAGAGGAATTGCAGTGAACATGCAAGACAATCCTTCTTCAAACCAGCCTGTAAAAGTCCTTTTCCAACAATGTATATAAAAACAGGAATAAAACTACTGAGCCTACCACAGCCTTGCTTGCTTTTTTGGATATCCACCTATATATCTGCATCCCTTGTTCATTCCTGAACCTGTACTTTTGATTACAAGCTTTTTGGGAGACTGTTCAACAGCTGTGTACTCTGTACCACAACACATTCTGAGACACTCTTCTAATACAAAGAATTCATAATAAGAAACAATGTCACCATTTCACTCGCTAAAAACATAGCAGCAAAAGATGTCATGGTCAGAAAATTGAGATATATTTCTTCAACAGCTGATGTCACCTTCAAGCAGAAGTTTAGCACATAAAGAACTACGCCTGGGCCAAGGCATAGAAACACTCACATACATATGTATTTCGTGACACATGATAGAATTCCTTGTCTGCTTACCAACACAGAAATTAAAAAAAATAAATATCTGTCCAAAGGTTCTTAGAGAATATCATGTAAGATTGGAGAAGATTTGCAGCTGGTTAATGGTCCTTTTTCTCTACTCTTACTTTTGTACTTCACAGTGTTCTCTCCAGCCATGGAGAAAAAGTAGAAAGCTGAGCCTGGTGTTCCTTAACATGGATACTGGAAAAATCCCCCCTTATTGAACATGGTATATACCTCCTCTTATTCTGGGCATTAGCCAGGGATTATAACTCAATGCTGCTCTGACTTTACTCTCTCCTCACTTGATAAGTCATATACAAATATTTTCCAAAATAACTACCAAAGTTATTGAAGACAGCATGATTTAAGGGGCTTTTAATAACCAACATCCTCAGTCATATGCACACTTGAGCTTTTATTGCTTTTAAATAGGCTTTCCATAAAAAATATTATTCTTTCAGGAGCAATTGCATCACGGTTTTATTTCAAATCCTCAGAGATTACAAAGGTGAACTCTTGGTTTTTCCATGGTGCCTTCTCAATGTTTATCAATTAATACAAAAACAGATTTCAAAAAGTATATGGACATGAACAAGAAAGTGCTATTTGCTTTTTATAAATGGGGCCGATACTGCAAGCCCACTCTCCAGCGGCAGACTGTGATTTGATAGATTTTTCAAGAAGAACCATCCCTAGCTTTTAGCAAAGCTGGAACTGAGCAATAAAGCTATGGAATTGCAGCTCCAGCTGGTTGGCTTGAGTGAGATGCAGCAGGAGGGGTTGGGAAATGGGCAGAGCTTTTCCAAAGCAGGTCCCAGTTTGTGCACATGCGCCTGATCCAAGCCTCTGGTGAGGGGAGAAGTAGGAAATAGTTGGTACAATCCACTATGGTAACTAAGGAACTAGTTTGGGAGCCTGTGTTGCTGGCTCCTACCTTGCTTTTCAGCAGCACCAAATCCAAATTTCTGTGCCTAACCCAAGCAGGTACCAGAAACCTGATGAATGCCTTTGGGCTGCACTCACGTCCCTGTATCAACAGGCCAGAAAATAACAGAAGCACCCTGAAGAGTAGGGCAGAACCTCGACTCTAATTGTTTTTTTATTCTTCTCACTCATGGAGCAAAGAGTAATGGAGGAAGGCAGGAGGGGTGAGGGGAAGCAGGGTAGAAATGCAGCTCATAAGTATGTCTTGAGTCATCACACTGATTCTTTGCTTGCCTTTGAACCTATCGTAAACTCGGATTTGCAGGCTTTTTAGACCTAGTCCAAAACATTTACATGAGTATCACTAAGCTCACTAATATGGAGAAAAAAGCCCATCAATTTGAGTTACACATAGATGCAAAGCTTTTCTGCAGAAGTTTCCGACAAGAACAATGCAGTATGAACCTGAGCATTGTAACAGGTGATATCCTACCCAAATTTGGAATACTTGTTTTTATATAATTTTCTTGTGAGCTTTTTAAAGCTTAAAGCTCTCCTTAACTTAATGTAGCGGTAAAAATTAAAGGAAGTTAAAATTAGCAACTTCCTCTCTAATTTAACAGGTCTGGATGATTAGTTAATATCACTTCTCTCCGAGACTGTCTGATAACTGTGGTTATTGAATGCACCAAGAATGAACTCCTGGCAGCTCATAAGATCACTCTGCATATCAATATTATTAGGTACTTTTAGCAGTCCTTATAATAGTTTTGTGACTTTATACAGATCACTCTTAGGTTTAAAACATGTTCTCAAATAAAATAGAGGAAATAATTTGTATGGAGTCAAGCTAAAACCCAAAGAAGGCGTGAAAATACTTGTAATGTCAGATGCAGTATTTTATTGCAGCAAAAATTAGTTCGTTTAAGCAGCACGAGTCAAGTAAATCCCGCTGGAGTGTGACGGGCCATTGGGGCCGGGCACGGGAACCTCGGTGGGCAGTGGCGACCCACCCCTCCTTCCCCTTTCTGTCCCCTTTCCCCACAGCTGCAGAGGGGCACAGACACGGCCCAGCTTGGCCCAGAGCGCAATCCCCTCCGCTTTTTGTTTCTGCTGCCGGTGGTTGCGATGCCACAGGCGCTGACAAAGGCCAGCCGGGCGGGACCCGCGGTGACAGCCGGGCACCGCAGAAGAACGGGGACACCCAGCGCGGCCGGGGCGGCCTGCCGGGCCGGCTCAGCGCCCTCCGAGCGGCTGCCGAGCAGAGGGCAGGGGCTGCCGGCAGGCGCCCACCCCAGCCCGGCCCGCGGGTCCTTGAGGCTCGGTAGGGCCCGGTAGGACTCCCGCCGCCGGCGCGGCCCGCGGGGCGTGTCCCGGGCAGCCCCGCTCCGCTCCGCCCCGGCCCGGCGGGGCAGCGGCGGCGGACGGGGCAGGGCCGGGCCGGAGCCGCGCAGCGGCGGCAGCGCCATGGGGCTGGAGACGGAGAAAGTGGACACCCGCATCTTCATGGACGACGACGACAACTTCCCGCGGAGCGGCGGCCCCGCGCTGTCGGACGCGGAGAAGTGCGCGGAGGACGAGCTGGACCGCGACCCCCACGGGCTGAACTCCCACCTGCAGGTGCGGGCCGGGCCGGGCCGGGCCGGGCCGGGGCGGGCGAAGCCGGGGCCGGGGCCGGTGCTCGGGTGCCGGCGAGGGGGGTCCCCCGCGGGCTCCCCGCGCCCCAGCTCCCCGTGACGGTAAAGCCTCCTCTTGTTCCAGCTTGGCTTCGAGGATGTGATCGCGGAGCCCGAGCTCACCCACTCCTTCGACAAGGTGTGGATCTGCAGCCACGCTCTGTTTGAGCTCAGCAAGTACGTGATCTACAAGGTCCTGACTCTGGTCCTCGCCATTCCGATGGCCCTGGTTGTGGGGATCGTCTTCGCCACGCTCAGCTGCCTCCACATCTGGTAAGGGCGTGCTGTGTCCGGGCTCTGCCGGCAGCTCCGCAGAGCTCCTTTCCTCTAGCATTCACTATTGCCCAACCACCGGGCGCAGACTTTACACAGCTAGCCAGATCTGCTAATATTAACTGCTTTATTTCTAAAGGGACAGTAAAGGAAACAGTGCTTTCTCTGTGATTCAGTTCCCTGCCTTGGTTTTACCAGCGGTCTGTCATGACTATATAAGCTCCTTGGGGCAGAGAGCCTGTGTTCCTGCTTGGACAGCACCTACAGCAATGGATTCCAACCTTGGCTGACTTCTGGAGTGATAATAGTGTCTGAATTTGGTTTTTAAAATGAAGTGCAGAATTTGTTCAAAAGTGTATTTTAAATGAATTATCTAGGCAGAAGTATTACTAACACTTGAAGTTATTACTAACTTTTTAGTACTGTTACCTCTTTTATTTTTTTCCTCACAGACTGAAGAAAGCTTTTGAGGGCCCAGCTGGCTCTGTGTTACTGACATAGAATGTAGTGCCAGTGCCTTGCATCTGGTGCATAGCTATCTCTAGATGCAGTGCTCCAAAGCCCTTCCACCTAAGCAAAAAACTCTGCTGAGCTCAGGAAAGCTGCTTCTGGCCATGGCACAAGTTCACAGGCAAATACGCTGGCCATCCAAGTCACAGAAAACCTGTATACTTTAAGCATAATGTGATCACAAAATATCAGGAAGTATTTCTGAGACCAGAAAGGGAGATGATGGTGGAGAAGGAGAAAAGGTGTGGAGTATGGTGAGGTTGAGGAAAGAACTGACAATCCAAAAGGCTGTAGAGGAAGGAATGAATGCAGATTATTGGCAATATTTCTGCAAACCAAGATTTTCCATATACATGAGTTTTGGGCAAAGTCTAATTTGATTTGGGTAACACTGGAATCCTTTTCCTTTTATCAGGGAAAACAGAATACAGAAACTGGAAGTAAACTCAAAGCCCTAGGAATACATTGATTATCTGAACTTATGGTGGCAATCTTGTGGGTGCAGATTTCAGTTTTTGAAAGTACAGTGGAAGCTTGTGTTGGTAACATTGTCAAGCCACTTTGAAAACTGATTAACTTGAATTGTGGAACATAGTGTTTGCACAATATCCAAAGGAGTTGCAGTGCAGTTTAGGGATGCCCACTTGCTATATCTCTTGTTCCCAAATTGTTACAAACAAACAGTTCATAGGCATAGTGTTGCCCAGATTTTTAGATTTGTCAGCTGTCACTCCACCATAGTGTGCAGTGTGACTGCAAAAGGGTATAGTGAGTATATACAGGTTTCCAGTAGTGAAATATCTGTGGAAAAATTCATCAATGCCAAATTAAAACTGTAGTGCTTTTTTGTGCTTCAGAAGGATCTTGTATCTGGATTTCACAGACAGGGTTTTACAGGGTTTCACTGATCCAGGACTCAGAGGTCAGTTACTATTTATGCACGTAGTCCCTAGTGACCATCTCAGGAACTGGGGGTTCTCAGTACATGTGAAATGGGACTTTCCGAATGTAGCACTTCGCTTGAAACGTCTCTCTCGACTTTCTGTGAGCACACTTGCTTTCAGTTTCGTGCCCAGGTTCATTGTCAACATAGAATTGATCTTTAGTTTTGATCTTCCTTGTACCTGGGATGGATGTGAAAGAATCACATAACTCAGTAGTGCTGTCTGCATCCCCTTGGACTCCATCCGGTGCTACCATCCAAAGGCAATACTGCCTCATGTTCCCACAAACTCAAACTGGATTTGTTCCAACACACTGAGACTAAGTTGGCATCTCTAAGTTGGCACCTCTAAGTTGGCACCTCTTCATGTTCCAGATACCATGCGAGTGAGGAGTTCAACGTTGCTGCATTTGAGAGGGTGGTGCAAAAGCAGTACACGTTTAAAGGCCCTAAATACAGAGTACAGGGTAGTTCCCTTGTAGGCCCATTGGGTCTGAAAAAAAAAAATAACTCCTTGTTTTGTACATGAAAGAAAGGGAATTCCATGATAATTTCAGCTGTTTAAATGTCATGGGAAGACCCTGGGGCAAACCCGCCCAGAAGTCTGTCACTAAGAGTCTCTCTGCTTCACTTTTATCATCCAAACCAGTGAGGTGATGATGTTGAAATGTTGTAAGGGAGCCTTTTCTAGGGATAAATTCAAAAGTGTTTCAACAGCTTCTGGAGGTGCTCAAGCAGAAAGCTCTGTTGATGTCACACATGTTGTTGCAGTTTTATCAGCGTGTTAAAATCCACGTCTAACTCAGCATTTCTTACGCTCAGGGGCGCCTTGTGAATTGCCCCATCGCACCTGATAGTAAACGTTGTCTTTCACCTGTAAAAAGAAAGCTAAGTAAGAAACATATAGTAATACACCTCATTTTCATTTTTAACCATAAAGATGGAACATATTATGTTCCCAAACTGGCTGCTTGAGCCAGAATCTGGTTTCATGCTACCTGGTAAAAGATGCTGATGGGCTGAACCTGGGCCAGCTAGCAGGCTGGTGATCCACATACAAGCCAGTTCAAGGAAGTCAACTTCACATTTTTCCATTACTGATGACTGTCATTCTCAGAGTATACAGGCCACACTGAGTTGTGACACCTTTCTGTGAAATTAGCAAGTTTTAAAATATGCCCTCAGATTGTAGTTGTTAAGGTTGTTGATTTTTGAACATGAACAGAACACTTCAGGTTTTACAGGCAGCTCATGCAAAATTTTTATATTTCTTATGGAGCAGTGATTGATTCTTGTTCCAAGCCACATGTTTGCAACCTCTTGGAAATTAATACTTGAATTTCATGTATGCTGTTTTGTAATTTTATCAGAATAGTGTTCTGGTGCATTGCATATTTATACTAAGAATCAGTGACCCATAATTTGAGTCTTGGATCTGAGATGGGCTCACTCAGCTCTATACATCATAGGCTAAAGCAGTAGGTATTCACAGCACTTCTCCACTTGAGCTGCCATTCACAGTGCTAAGACAGAACCATGGATTTACATGAAAAGCAGATATGGACATGCATTATTTCTTACCTTTTTGTATTCCACAACTTCATTTACAAAGCTGCTGCTACCACATTCAATCCTAAAACCATGTCCCTACTGACTCCTTGAAATCTAAATAAATTACAGCTAGGAAGGCCTACCTTATAATCTGGTGGTGCTGTCTTGATGCCTCTCTTTGATGTCCAGTACATATCCCTTGGTTTAGGAAAAAAAAGTATGTGGATGTTGCCTTGCTTCTTTTGTAGTAGTTTTATCATTTCCAGTCTATCCAGGTCCTGGAATACATAATATTTGATTTTAATGCACTTCAAATACTGTGTATGAGATGTGAAAGGCTATGGTGGTTATCCATTGCCTCACTTGTCCCAGTGGTTAATGGCATGCAACAAGCTGTAGAACTGCTAGGTAATTTTTAGCCTTCTCACAATGCTTGCTTGTATTGTAGAGCTATACAAGACTTTTCATTCAAAATCATGATATAGTACATGGAGTTAGATAATTTAAGCACAGAAACCTAGAGCATTTGAAAAATAGTATTAAGACATTTCTGAGATTCCATTTTGAAAAACCTTACAGGAGAAGTCATGATTCTTCACTTTGAACCCAGAATCTCAATTAATGGTGCATGACTGCTCCAACATTGTTGCCCATGTCTATAAAAGTTGATTCTCATTATTAGTGGGAATTAAACTGTGCTCTGCCATTTCCAAGAGGTGTTTAGTTCTTGACAGTGCTCGTTCAGGGCTTAGCAAGAAGCAAAAGTAACGTGAGCAAAAGTGAGAAACATTGAGGGAAATAATTTTGTGGGTGTCATGCCTTGAACAGAATAAAGAGAAAATAGGATAGAAGGGGAAAAATGGGGTAATTGGAGCTTTTCAGTTCAACAGTTCCCGTAAGACACAATTCATGCCACTTGGTCAAAGGAGGTGTATTTTATAATATATATACATAGCAAGATTCAGTGAGAGGTCATATAGGTAGCTGTCTTCAGCTTAGATGACAAATTCAACAGACCTTTTGTTTTCTTCCCAATGTGGTTCTACATGCTAACACTAGCAGTACCAGTATGGCATCAGGGTACCTACCATGTCTGTGAACAAATCTGTGGACCAGGCTAAATCCACAGCAAAGGATGGGTACGTTATATTTGTCAGGTCACAAAAACAAATACATGGCTTCTAATGGCATTTGATTATTAATTTTTAAGTGTGGCTGGTCACTCCATGGAAAGCACATTGCACCCTCTGATAATCTGGCAGTATCGCACTGTCAGATAAGATACCCTGTGCAGAACAGGATGCAGACTTGTACACATGTAAATACACACATAATTTAAAACTTAGAAAAATACCTTTTATGACTCTCCTTGGTGTAAAGGATTTTCTTCTCTGAGGAAAGACGTTTGAGTAATTGTTCTATAAGTAGATGGACTTTTATTTTAAAATTGAAAGTTATTTACATTAATTGGCTTTGGTTGCTATTATGTCTCATGTATCCTCCTATGGATTTAGCTTACATTGGGATTTGCATGCATTTACCATAAATTAAAAACTGTAATAATAAGTGCTTAAAGATTGTAAAACATTACCAAAACATTTTAATGTTTATTTTCCATAAGATTACCAAAATAGTTTGACTTCCAGTAATCAAAATAGGTTGAGTTCCAGTACCGTGTGAATTACCTGTACAGTAATTTCAAGTACTATGATCACTGCTTCTCCAGCCTTCTATATCTTTCTGTGAATCTTCTGCATACTGTGGTATTTGTTTTATTTGTATTTTGCGTGATCCTGTCAACAGAGGGTCCAAAAGAAATGTTGTCTTTTCTGCTTCTCTCCAGTTCAGTTAGGATTTAAAAAAATTGGGCCAAATCAATTATAGATGGTATCAAAGGAAAAATTACATTGTCCTTATAAACTATCTGAAATGGAAAAGCGGTGAAGTCAGCACAAACAAAATAGCCATTTCTGGTGTGTTCCCTGTATTGCTTGGAAAAATAGCAATTTTTTTTTTCTGTTTGCATTATTGATGTTTATCAGCAGTATTCTAACAGGTTAAGGCCTAGTTTTTTATTCTATAAATGATGTATTCTCTATGCAGTGATATTATAGGTGGTTATAAACACATAGCTTACAGGGTTGAGTTTAAAACTAGAGGCACAACTTTCCAGTAATGCTCACAGTCCTATATGGGCTGTTTCAGCAGAGACAAAAGAGAAGGTTTTAGAAAAACTATTCTTGTTTAAATCCATCTGGGCTAGCTTTGAGTAGAGCACTGATGTTCTAGTATATGGCTTGCATTGTATGACAAAAGCTATTAGATAAACACTGAAAGTAATTAATTTTGATTCTGTACATTTCTAACCTTCAAAAATTTTTAAACGTGGTAGGTATTTTCTACTTTGTTAATCTGAGGAGTATGCATTGTAAATACACAGCAACTTTTTTTCAGACTTAGGATGAAATATTAAATTAGGTATTTTCTGTCATTCCAGTCAGAGTGAAAATTCTGCAGTGGAATTATGCAAATGCCAGACTGGGAACTTAAATTTTGAATGCAACAGTGAAGTAGGACAGAGTTTTTTATCATTGTCAAAATAATCTATATGTTCTTTTGCCTAATTTAGGAAGTAAACATGTTCAGTATGGCAGAGATTTTTTTTAAAACCTTGCGCTAGTAGAACTTCAGTATTATTTATGTATACATTTAGTTTGTCTGCACCCAAGTAAGAGCAGGTTAGTGAAATGACCAGAGGTTTAGGCCAGTAAATGACTAAGGAAGGAGAGTAACTTCAAATATTGTGGTCAGTTGTCATGTATCCACTGGCCCTCGTGAGCTGCCTATGTGCACTTCTGGCTCTCCTCCACTGTTAGCATGCTTGGCTCAAGCCACCAGTAATGACATTGCTTCAGAATCGGCACACAGGGAGAGCAATCCCCAGATGCTTACCAAAGCTCAGGAGATGAAAGCACAATATTCTCTAGTATGCACCCTGAGTGAATAAAAAGATCTTATCCCCTGACAAGGAGTTCTGACCATATTCTAATGTTAATTTCTCACTCACAAATCAAGAATTTTACAGGATCATCCCATTTTTCTGAGATGTGGCGTGTACCTGTATTGTAATAATCTGATGTTACTGGATATTGCCTCCCTGTTTCTGTTTTACTGTAGCATCTTGGAATAGGGATGGGTAGGAATGAGACACCAACGGTGTGAAGTGCATGTATGCCTGTGCACTTGTGTGTGCCTGCAGGACAGACAAAGAAACACCAGAAGATGCAGCAGAGCAAGAAGAGATTGTAAAGGCTGTTTCCAGTAAATCAAACTGGGGAACATAGTGTTTCTGTCAACCCCTACAGACCCACATTCAGATACGACCACAGCACAAGTGAGTCCTTAGGGGATGAATGCTCTTCAGCCATGGTGGGTGGCAGCAGGGCTATGGCAGATCATGCACACCTGCCCTGCCAGGAGCAGGGAGAGACAGCAAAAGTTCAGCATTCTAAATGGCATGTAAACAAATTGCCAGTTAATAAACAGAGAGAATGACTGCAAGAGTCAACTTGCTTAAATATTTATATGTATATGTATATGTATATGTATATGTATATGTATATGTATATGTATATGTATATGTATATTCTGAAGTTATAAAAGGTAAGGAACCACTTCTCGTCCCTAAGATGTCGCACCTGTGTGTCGTTGTCCTGATTTCCCTGTGCTGTAGCAGCACCAATCTTCCAATTTTTCGTTTTCTCTTTTGCAGGGTTGTGGTGCCTTTTGTGAAAACCTGTCTCATGGTCCTGCCTTCAGTGCAAACTGTATGGAAGAGCCTGACAGATGTTTTTGTTGTACCATTCTTTCAGAGCCTAGGCCGGTGCTTTGCCATGGTTAATATACGCCTGGACCAAGAGTAAACTTCGGAGATGTGACACTGCTGTAGTTGTAGCTGGTGTTATACTTCTTTGCTAACCTAACATACAAGCACTTGCCATTCATTCCAAACTTAAATTACAATGGCTGGTTTAAGTGGGAACATGCTGTTTTTATTAAAACTCATTTATTATCAGGGAGATCCATTTAAGAATTAGTAGGCAGTTTTCATAGCTCACTATTTCAACAACAGAGTGATCATGGAGTATATTGGCAACACTTTATTTTAATGGTAGGTTGATTGGTAGATTATGGGAGAATTCTCATGGAGGACTAAATGCCACCAGAGTGATAATGATTGGTGTTATTGCTATAAATAAATAAAGGAATAGGCTGTGATACCTTAGACAAAACTGATCTCTAGGGTTTCACACTGACTTTACTGCAGTTCCACCAGGGATCATTTTTGGCTCCACTATGCAGAATGATAAACCCAGTCCTCTGTTATCAGCAGTTAAAGTGAACGTGACTCATTGCATAAACATACAGGCAAAGGAACTGTTGTGTAATTCTCCTGTATTGGGGGAGGAGAGGGGAAGCTCCCTAGAAGTTTATCCCTTAAAATAAGGTGTTAGTTAATGATCTGTAACATTAGCTAATCTGTATATTTTATTTAATGAGAGATTAACTTTGCTGTATATTTTGTACCTTTGTAAATGACAGTTGATCAGGTTTCTATGAAGCATAGTTTCTCTAGTATTTGAATTCTAACCAACTTATTAAGCAGCAAGAGTGAGACACTGCAAAAATTATTTTAGATAACTAATATTTCCTTTTCTAAATTAAATAGATTTTGAGTGTTGCTGTGCAATTTTAATATATTAATTATATATGATTGTGTGTAAAAGCAAAGATTATAAGTGTTTATATACACGATTATGCAAAAGACTTGGAAATATCTGTTTATGAGAAATGGTTTTTATTAAAAATTGGGTGTAATAAATGCTACCCTGCCTATTTCTGTATATTATTGGTGTGAACATTGTGATATTTAAAGTAATAGACACTATGCTAGCACTTTAACCAGGTTGCAAGTTCTTATAGAAGGCAAGTGACTGTACTTGGTATCCTTGTCTAATTCTCCTAACCTATTGACTTGACTCTCTCTGTTGCTATTTTACTATTACAAAACTTAACCCCTGAAAAAGACACTTCTTTCTTCTGCACCTAATATGACTTTTTAAACCAGAATAACAGAAAATGTGCAGAGGTACATTAAAATTACATTAGCCTTCTGCTGGGCTTATGCTGCTGTTTTATTTAAATACAGATGGTAAGTTGCAATTGTAAAATGTTTGTATGATTTAGAATGTTATTTTCTAAAATGTCTCAAATTTCTTATCAAACAAGAGGTATCTAATAAAATAATAAAATGTCAGCTGTTTCCCATTTTCAACTTCATTTCTTTTCAGATTTTTCAGCTTCTAAACAAACTCTTAAAATGCCAAACACCATAGAATACTATGCAGTTCTTCCAAATATCTGAGAGGTAAAGAAATTAATATCAATACACTTCCCCTATTCTCAACTGCATTTAGTGTATTTATAGTAGAAAATGACATATCTCTGTGTGCAGTTAGCCCATACAGAATGATTGCTGTCTCTGAAGAAGGTCTCTCTGCAGAATTTCAGCAACATTCAAAATAATGCTTAATTCTTTTAACAAGCTCACGTTTTCTTTACAGATGAGCTGCAGAATTTTCCTTTCTTGTCTGTTGGCCTATTAAAGATACCTGGATATTCTTCGTGCATTAGGAATATCTTTCTTTATTTAAAGTATTTTTAGCATTTGTGCCATTTAGAGAGGGATTCATATGGCTTTAAAAAACTGGATCTTAATGATTTGTGCCCATGCAAACTGCTCTTGTTCTTTTTTATTCTGCAAGAAGTTAGCTTGTTTTTCAGATGTGTTCTTCAAAATACCTTTCTTGTGTTAAAAATGGAAATAACTCTTTTGAAAATAAAAATTGGCCAGGCTAGGCTTGAACTCTTTTGAGAGTTATTTTCTTTTACAGCGTCCAAGGGCTTTTACAAAGATATTTTCCACTGAAAAATATCCCCTTGATGAATTCATTTAAAAGAGAAAAAGAAAATAAATCAATCAGTACTAGTTCTTGTGTCTAAAAGGAGTCCTAAAAAAGCCTAAGCTTTGAAGGAACCCAAGTCTGCAGTTCAAGTTTTGAGAATGAGACCATTCCCCAGAGAAAGATGTATCATTTTATGGTATGCATTCCTGGATATATTCATTCTTAAGTAGCTTACTGAAGTCAACTGGCTCTGGCTACCACAATTAAGTAGAATGGTTTGGTTTGTTCTTATTTTCTTTTCACCATTTCTCTATCTGTTGCAAGACTCAAACAAGCTTGTAATTAAAGCTCTTAGTTTCTTAAATATTTATAGCAATATCTTTCTCTGTAACAGGTGTGCCCTTACTATAAGAAACTAAAAAGTGCACTCTCAGATCAGACTTGGTAAAATATTAGGTGCTTGGAAAATACTCTTACTTTGTCCATAAAAGGAGTGGAAGGAAGTAGAAATATTTACAGACTCTCCAATACTCAGGTGTGAATCTGCCCCAGGCAACTGTGGCTGGCAAGTGTTCTCAGGGTGTTATGGTTCTGACATAGATCCTGAAGGTCTGGCACAGCATATACTGTGAATACCTCCCAGCACTGTTGGACAGTGGACTGAATGGGAGCTGGCTCTGAACTCTGCTCCTCGATGTAGGAGCAGGTTTGTCTCCAATTTCTTTGAAATGTGGACAAACCGTCCCAGCCGATCCCTTAAAAACAACTTACAAATGAGAATTTAGGCAAAGGAGTCCAGAAACTGAGTCTCATTGTCTGCAACAAATGTAAGAAAACTTATGCCCAATTCAGATTACTTTGATGCATCTTTGTGTCTGTGGAATAGGGAAAATTTTATTGCTCATAACAAGAGTAGATTTTCCATCATGGTAGAGCTATTGCAAATAATAAGTGCGAGGTTTTACGATTCCAGCCTGTCTCTTGTTACTACAGACCTTAGATCTTAAACCATGAGCTGGAAACTCAGTTCTGATTTGCAAAATCTTTCAGCATCTTGTTTTTCCTGAAGATCACAACTAACATGCAGAACTCACCCTGGATTTGTGTTTATGGACTTCTTAATTTTAATTTACAGAGAAGTCTAACCTATCTACTTACGAGAGCTGTTTCCTAAAATGCTCCTAATCTGATTCTGAAACTTTTATATTTGTATCTTATCTTTCACCACTGTAGTAGTTCACCATATAAATTGAAACAAATTCTTAATAGAAGCTTTGATGTATTAGTAAATGAAAAGCCCGTTCCCACCTATCCAAAAAGTTCACTTAAGCACTCACTAAAAAGTTCAGAACTTCCCTGCAGCTCTGGGACCTCAGACCACACACTTGTATAAAGTGGAAGCCAAAGAATGGTAAGTCCTTTATTTTTACAGGGTGTGATCATTCCCCCACCTGCAGAGATGAAACTATTGCTGTTATTACCTCTTTAAAAAAAAAACATGGAAAAATACATCTGTTTGGTTTAAAAAAATAAAAAATGCAAATGGAACAAGGTCAAACACCAGACACTTTTACCAGTGTTGTCTATGCTAATGAAATTTAGTTGAATGCCTCCAGAGATACTGAACCAGCAGTTAGGCATTAAAATTGGAGGTTCCTTCTTCGTGCAGGGATTTACAAATTAGGCTAATTAATAAAGGCTAACTGTAGCTTGGTGCCACTAATCTTCCTAAGCTTGTTGTAACAAAAGGAAAATGTCTTCTGAGAGGCAATTCAGAGGAGCTAATCATTTGAATCATCCTCTAGAGAAAAGAGTCTGTACTGGTTAGTGTAAAATATTGGGCTGGGCTTGGCTTGGCTTCTTTGCTCTGCTACATAAAAGTTGTATTTGCTGCAGAAATTGGGAAGGCTGATGGAAGCAACTAGAGTTTAAAAAAAGTAGTGAGGCAGGTTCTTCTCTACACCCTTCTCTTACATCTTGATGCCAGGGGTGAGTGTCACCTGTGTTAGAGGTTCAGTTTCAGCTGTTGTATAGCTTCCCTTTCCAACTGCAAGTGGGAGAAAGGACTCCTTCACATAGCACTGAATCAGACCTGACTTAAGACACTCAGATGGAATAAAATATAGAGATTGACTTTTATTTCAAACCTTGAGGAAAGCTTGTCTATTTTTTCAACTGTCTTAGCTCAATAAGAGCTGCCTTTTCACCCCATGTATCTGGTTTTGCTTTTATTTTACACTATTAGAGCTATCACAATGATACACTATCATTGAAGGTTTACCAAGCAATGCTTAGGTAGAGAAGCAGAGTGACAAAAAGCCCATCCTACATAAGCCTTAAGGCGTGGGTATTTAAGTCCCAGTAAAGAGACAAGTTGTCATAGTCTGATATTTTGTATAAAACACATGAACATTCAATAATGCAGTATAACTGGAAGAATGGTACAGAGCAGCATTGACATAGACTGCTGTTCATGGTTCAGCTCAGTTTTCAAGGTATGTGATACTGCAAAGGGTATCAAAAGAGGGACTTGGCTTGCACAGGGTCTTGCAGAATCAAAGTTTTCAATGTCTTTGCCTCTCCCGTCAAGGCAGTTACAAGGTATCTTGATAAAGACCTACAGGGGCTAGCTCTAATAAAAGATACACACATTACTACAGAATTGAGATGAGGAAAAGTAATGCATTTTGATCCAAAACTGTAATCCCTGCCCAGCTGCCACCCACCAGGAACATGTCTGAACTCAGAAGGCACCTCCCTTTCCCATAACCCCTCACAATACCTACAGCTTTACCTTTGTCATGCCCAGAACTGCCCTTATTTGAGCAACTTGGCATCTTACTCACATCTAAGCCCAGTCAGAACCCCAAAAGAAGGGGGGCCTTAGACTTCTCAAAATATACTTAACTGCATATCAGCAGACTGAGGTACTTCCCAAAATGCACTTTCCCAGGAGTCAAAATGCAGTGGCACACCTCAGACAAAAATTGATTTCAGGTTTCTCAGGTGTTGTTTTGAGTTTTCTGGCCCTTAGGCTATTGTGGAATGTTTTATGGCAACATCACTTTCACATAAAATGAAATCACTCCTGTCTAGGAGTTGTGAGAAGGAAGGAATGTCCATATACCATTTCTCCTGGTATATGGACTAATCCTTGGATTCAAGGCCCAGACAGGCCAAATACCAAACATGAACCTGCAGTTCTGTATACTGGGGCAAGGAGAACCTATCTCTATGGAAAAATTCTGATCCAGTGACTTACATTTTAAAATACAGAAACCCTCCAGAGAGTGGGGACAGGATGACCACTGTGAACCCTCCAGGACTACAAGTCTTTAAATAATGGAATGAGGAAAACCTTGGCCTGCATGTTTATTGTATCCTAATGCTTGTTATCATACAACAGGGGAGAACAGTAGCATGACTGCTAAAAATTCAATACCAACAGCTTTGGCAGCTAAGGCTTTCATCCAGCAAAACATACAAAACTGCATATAAAATGATGCGGTTAAGCAATTGAACAGTAGACACACAAAAAAGCAATCATCTTTCATTCCTAAGCCTCAGGTTTTTAAGTGCTCTGCATAAGGCAGGCTGCTCATGGACAGCCTCTGTTACCTGACAGCCTTGTTGGTGTTGAAACGACACATAAAGCAAACAGTTTCCCAGGGTGATTTTGATCTTGCTGACACTGGAATATATCAGGAGTATTGCTAATACCATAACTGGAATAACTACACAAGCTTAAAATGAAAAGGGGGGTGAGGAGTGGAGGAAGGAGGAGTGCTTGATACCAGACGAAGACACTCAGTGGGCAGTCATCCACATTCAGTTCAGTTTCATGACTCATTTTCTGACAGTTTTTGAGGGATTTTGTCCATTCTTCCCCCCCCCGCCCCCCCCGGTTTCTGGGAATCCTACTCCTAACAAAACTTTTCCTCCCCTCAAAATGCATAAAATAAATCATAAATTGAACATTATTTGCTCCAGCTTTAGAGCAAGTTTTCAACTAAAGTTGAAAACCTCAAAAAAGCTGACAGTTTTTGAGGGATTTTGTCCATTCTTCCCCCCCCCGGCCCCCCCGGTTTCTGGGAATCCTACTCCTAACAAAACTTTTCCTCCCCTCAAAATGCATAAAATAAATCATAAATTGAACATTATTTGCTCCAGCTTTAGAGCAAGTTTTCAACTAAAGTTGAAAACCTCAAAAAAGCTGAAAACCTCAGGATTCTGAGGTTTGAAATTTCTGTTAAGGCAAGGTTTTGGAGCAATAAAAACTTTTTAAAATTAGGTATGAAATGCCTAAGGCTGGTGTGATGAAGAAGGGTGGTCAGGTGGCCAACCAAGGTGG